GTGATCGACGAGCAATCACCCCAAGTACAAAAAAAACTCCAACACTCACTCGCACCTCGTAGAAAAAACCGACCTTTCTCTTATCACAGTCTGCAACTTACTGCCTATCCTCTCTCTCGGCCGAACGATCGCTCACCTCCTCCTCGACTCTCAGCTTCCCCCGTTAATCTCGTAGCTGGTTTCCGTCTCCCATAGAGGAGTGACAAGTCGGTGGTGGTTCAGTGGACAGTGGTCGCTTCGCCCATGCAGCAAAACACCTCCATCATCGCTGTGCCCTACCTTATCGGTCCCTTTAAAAGTGACGTTATGGAGCTATCTAAATTAGCAAAACTGACCCTACTCTTACACCACCTCAATCAAATGTTACGAACCGGTAACATATCCCCTTCTGGTCGGGTAAAAAAAAAAGGGATGAATTTACTATTTTTTTTTTTTTAATATAACAAGGAAGCATTCAAAAAAAACACTAAACACTATGTGGGATAATAACGATAAGGAAAATCATGCAAAACAAAATATACTAAATTAAATCGAGGCAATGCATCCACTTTGCTCCAGAACCTCTGGTGAGTCCGCAGGGCTAGATGGATCAAAACTTCAGCTAATAGAACCGCTATTTCCCTCTCACAAACCCCCTGGACGTTCTGGAGTGGTGTTATACTACGAATTTAGTTATTTCTCTTCCACAACATATTTTCTGTCCCGGCGACCAGCAATGGTCGCAATGAACCGACGGGTTACCGACTGTCTCACGGGACAGGATTTATTCGGATAACGGACGAATAGATACTATTTGGTCTGGCAAGTGTATACCCACGATAAACGCGATTAAACAAAGTGTATCCGCCAATACTAACAGGACACGAATACAGGACACATACAGTGTAGGACTACTCGCGCTCATTACACTGGACAAAGGTCACGAAGCGGCTATTCGCGTTGGTAGGTGTACTTCACACCATTACTAAATTTAACGATCGTATAACAGTTACCGATGTGGTGAACTGTTCCCAATCGACCTGCTTTGAGATCGATCGGTGTCTGTCCGGACAGTAGTTATCGATTGGCTCTCGTCATGTGTAGGACGATAGAAAACATCCCATAGTTGTCTTTCTAGACATGTCCCAAGCCTTCGACTCGGTGAACCTGCGAAAGCTGCTGAATTCCCTACAAAACCTAGAAATCCCTAACAAGCTCATCTCCTGGCTGCACACCTACCTCAGCCACCGAAGATTGGTCCTCAAAACGAATGAAGGAGACGTCTACAGGGAAGTGAGTGAAGGACTCCCTCAAGGCTGTCCACTCTCGCCCATCCTATTCAACCTCTACACGAAGGAGCTCCACGATATCACCGAGGAAGATTGCGAACTCGTCCAGTTCGCTGACGACTTTGCGGTGATAGTTGTAGCAAGCAACCCTGACGAAGCTTCCGAGAAAGCCAACACCTATCTCTCCAAACTCTGTCTCGGCCTAGAGTCCCTGGACCTCAGGATCAATGTAGCCAAGTGCGCAGCAATTGCCTTCACAAGAAAGGACACGAGGGGAGTGAGAGTAAAAATAGGTCAGGAAAACGTAAAGCTAAACAACACCCATCGGTATCTGGGGTACACCTTAGACAGGAGCCTCTCGCACAGAAAACACATCGAGGATGTTCGAGAAAAAGCAGGGGCAAAACTGGGAATTATCAAAATGCTAGGAAAGAGAAACAGCAACGCCAATCCGAATACTCTAGTTAAGGTCGGAAATGCCATAATAAGAAGCAGATTGGAATACGGAGCTCACATTTATGGCAACGCAGCCAAATCCAACCTGCAAAAACTACAGACTGTTCAGAACTCCTACCTCCGGATAGCAATGCGTCTCCTCAAGACCACACCCATCCATGTCATTCACGCAGAAACTGGGCAGCTGCCACTGGATATTCGTAGGGACTGGCTCACCCTCAAGGAAATCCTGAAAAACACCTTCCATGGCAGGCAGCTTTAGCCGTTCATCGTGAAAGAAATCGAAGACACCCCGGGCAACGGATCGTTCCTCTCGGAAACGGCCGCAAAACACAACTATATCGTTTGCCAAATGCATCCTAAGGATCCCAACATGGCTTTCCAGGACAGAAGAAAGTACTCTGACTTCAACGTTGCCAGAAATATCAAAGAGAAGCTCTTCGAAGAGCAAAAAAAGAAGGAAGGCTACAGTCAAGAATTCTGGAGAAAAAAATTTCTGGAAGCCAAAAACCAGCACTACCAAGATTTCAACCACATCTACACGGACGCCTCGAAGACGGCAACGGGCACAGCCCTAGCAGTTGTAGACTGCACAGACCAACAAATTGTTAAGCAAACCCCACACGCATCAATATATTGACGCGAAGGGGAATTATTGACAATAATATTGATGATGTGAATTCAGAAATATTGTCAATCTCGATATATTGACGTCAATATAGCATGTATTGACAATACGATTATTGTCAATAAAAGCAATCGTGTAGGGTTCACTTTACAGAGAAGGTCAACCCCAATTTTACAATCACCAATGCAGAACTGCTGGCGGTGCTCATTGCCATCGAAATCGCCAAGAAGAAACGATATCAGAAAGCTGTTATCTTCACTGATTCCCGTGGAGCCTGCCAGACCATACGCAACAAGACGAAGACGATAGAGAATTACCAACAATCAATACGAAACTAACGATTTTAAATTGGCTCACCACTTTAGTAGCCTATTGGTCCCAAGCAAACGATTAACGTACCCTATTCTAGTTGAAATTCTATTACTACACTATGTTTGTTTTGATTCGCTATGAAAGTTTGACAGATAACATCAGGGGTGTGTGGATTCATGCAGAACATGCAGGGGTGAGTGAAATAGCTTGGGACTGCTTGGGACCGTTGTTCTGGTACTGAGTGAGCCAAAAATAATAATGATTTTCTTCGGGACCCAGTGGTCTTAGAGTTACCTCTATGGTACTACCAACTACGATACTTTTAAATTGACCGTTGAAACCTTGTTCGATGAACAACTTGCGAGTGTTATGTCTGTTTGTCTGTGATAGAATCATACAAATGAATATTACCAATAAATGGAAGATTATCTCATCTGTCCGATCCTGTTATTACTTTGCTTGTTTGAATGATCGTTTGCGATAAATGGGCGATGAAAGTCAAAAGTGACAGTTTTTTTTTGTTCGGGACATAAAACCACTGCGACCAGTAATTTGATCTATTGTAGTATATCCCGTGTCCTTAGTTTGGTGCATGTCGTATTACTCCATCAATATTGAGAAATGATGAAGTATTCGGTTTTGATACAGTTGTCATTCTTGCCTTCATCGCAAGGAATCGATTCTAATTTTGAAGGTCCCGCTATTTATACCCTTCGGAGTGTTGAAACACCTTCCAAAGGCGCGCCCCTTTGTAGGTCAACATTGGATTCCTTAAGAACAAAAACAAGCAATGACACCGATAATGACCATGCATCAGAACCCTAGTCTTAGCCACTTCAAACTAGAGAACAGCGAATATAAGATTAGGGATCACGTAGATGAAAAGTAACTTCCTAACTCATTTTTTCCTTGTTTCAAGATCATCCTCGGTGGACAAAACCGAGTCTTGTCACTATCAACAAGGCATAAAAAGTAAAAAGGACTAAGATGTGTTCCTTTGATTACAAAAACTAATTTTTTCCTTGTTTCAAGATCATCCTCGGTCCAAGCAACCCGAGGACTTATCACTATCAACAAGGCATAAAAAGTAACAAGGACTAAGATGTGTTCCTTTGATTACTGAAAAATCCTGTTCCCCTAGTTTGAAGGTATCGGTGGTAGACCTTACATCCCGTAACGTACCACGAAAAGGTGATCTACCCACGTTACGGGGCAAAAAGTGACAGTTACGTTATATAGAGGTATTGTATAACAAAATTTGATTGCCTGGTTTCAAATTCAAAATCCAGAGAACCGGAACGAGTGAACATAACTCAAACTCAGGTACACTTTACCAACGGCACATGGGACACTCTTTTTCGATGTGCTTCGCGTACCTCGCAACTTTTCCACTTATTCTCAGGGAAAAACGAAAGACTGCCCAAGTCGAAGTTTCCACGATATTCACCATTACAATCTCGCGCAGTTTTCACACATTCTGAGACATCCCATCTTCGGTTGCGCAAAACCGTTAACTAGCAGGAACAGGGGAGTCAAAACAGAAGCAGCAAAAAACCGAACGCACGCACACGTTTTCCTGTATTCTAATGCACCTCCCAAAAAATATTGGATGTGTCGCATATGGTTACAAATTCCGAATGTTTTATTTATATCCGGAGCCGGTGTGTTACTGATGGTTTGGCGCGCAGTGGCTATTTTCGCACGGTTGTCCGAGTATAAATAGAAGCAACTCTAAATTTTCGGTCGTCACCTCGAGAAGGATTCACCAATCAACAATGTTGATTTCGATCTCCTAACCTCAACGGAACGGTGCGGATCAAAGGTGGCGTTGCAAATTCGGAAAACTCGCACCCGGAGGTCGTCATGGGTTGCTGTGTTTGCAAACACAATTTAATCGTTAATTGATCGCTCATAAGGGCTCGACTTGGGGACAACCACCGAAAGCAAATATGCGTTTTGAGCACACAGTTTATGATGGTCGCTATGAATAATTTATCGATTAACAAGCCAGCAATCATCGGAAACCACAAACATGTTGTGAGAGCAGTAAATTACACGGTATTTATCATTTGTTCCAAGCATGGCGAAATCAAACAAATGCACACCGAGTGTACATAGAGCTTGTTGGGAGCATTTATTTGCTTTAGGTTATCCAGCGGAAAAATGCGAAAATAAACCAATTCTCGTGCAATTATTTGCCTTTCGGTTCAATCGGCTGCAATGACCTAAATATTTGTCTAGGTTTGTTTTTTTTCGAATCGGTTCCCAATACATTTTTTTTTTTGAGGATAGTTCTTTTTTGTTCTACCGAAAATCAATACTGCATCCAAAATCGGTTCCATTTTATGAGATTCAAGAGTTTACAGTTTTGTTCTTTATTACTATTTAGTTTTAGTTTTATTTCTTTTCATTATATCTGGTTTCCGGTTTTGTTGTAGCACTTTCCATTACCCTTGTATGAATTCCTTTTTTTTTTGGTTTTGTGTTGTATTTTTGTATATTTGTGTGTGTACTTGTGTGAAAGAAAAATAATGACATGTGTTTATTGTTTGCTTGAATGTGTGTGTGAGTGGATGTATCTATGCTTTTGTTTTTTTTTAATTGTATTTGAAGTGATGTCTGATTTGTCTTAAATTTTCATTTTGCTTAAATGTTTCTGTTATTAAATAGACAACGGTAGAATCCAGTTGCTGTTGGAGCTGAAAACAACAATCAGGGGAAAATGGAAAACAATACGGGGGACGCAAGGTACAAAGTGCATTGTCTATAAGAATATAATAAATAGAGTGTATTCTTGACTTGTATCTTCCGTATTTTGTATTTGTAAGTTGTTCGAAAAAGGCTTCGGTGTGAGTGCTTGTGTACTGTTTAAGTGCAGCAGTAGTTGAACTAGATGAAATCAATTACCTAATAAATAGTAACACCTTGTTTTGGTTCTGGTTTTTCGTGTTTGTCTAGAGGATTTGCGATTCGCTAAACTAGGTAGTGGGGGAGAAATGGGGGTTGAATAAATTAGAATTGTATTCATTGCAGACTTTTAAATAACTTAACCACCTAAAATTGATGTAACGCTACAAGCTAAGGCTGTGGAATGTGTCTTTCCTTAAGTGTAACTGTTGTATGTGGTTTAGAACTAGATAGGATTTCCTCACAGAAGTTGAACAGCCAATAGAGGAGTCGTTTCAAATTTGAGGTTAAACAACGCGATAAAAATACCAACAATCACAATTCGATTGGACAACCCTTTCCAGGGGAGGATCGATCTAATGAAAAAGAGGAGGAAGTGTTTCAGATGTGAACGTTTTCTTCACTTGAGCTGTAGACTATGTAGACTGGCCAAATGTGTAGTTAAGAATGCCAGAAACAGAAACGAAACGTCAAACAAATTTGACGCACAAAAGTCAGAATTCAGTCGGATACCGATTTGACAGATTGGAAAACGTGCGCACAGCCTACTTTGTCCACGCGGAAGAGTTAGTTGTTGTTGGTGCGTGCTGTAGCAGTAGTGTAGTATTAATAGTTGATGTTTGTTTTTATCATTTACAAAAATATTATCTATTCCCGTTATGTAGAAGTAATTTGCGACTTTTTATATCAAAATAGTGTGTGACGATTCTGTGGTAGCCTGTGATAGTTAATAAATTCTGTCTCTCTTTCTATCGAGTTGAGGATACTATTTACACGTCCAAGTTTCATTTTGAATCGATTTGTTTGGGTTATTTGTTTTTCGAGTATACAAAAAATAAATATCAATTCACTATTGTTTACTCTCTGTTGTTTTTAGGAAAGATAGCTTTTTATCTATTGATGTTTCAGAAAATCGGCAATAATCGGCTTTTGTGTTTACCCAATTACACGTTCGCTCTTTTCAACTACAATTGTTTGGACCCTTTATCCCTATGACTTTCTTTACACTCTAATAAGGTATGGTTTGTTTTATTTTTCTTATTATGTTTTGGTTAAATTTTCTCGTTAGAATTTGCAGCTATGTTTTGTATTGTTTCTCTGTGCTTATTTTTCCGACTGTCAAAAATTTCTGTTAGTACATCGCTTCTGTTGAGGCTTTTGCTCGCTGCTGTTTAGGTGTATTGGTGTGAAATCGAATGAATCAAAAAGTGGTGGACAAAAATGCGACAAATTGTTGCTGGAGTGGTGTCGAAAATGGTTTATTTACGCGAGATAAATTTGGGAGAAATACTGCCATTCAAAACTTGAGGTGCTCGTAAATTGGTTTGCTTTTTCATTTGTTCAGTGATTGGAATTCTGATAAATATTTACATTCGTCAATGTCACGCCGGAGAGGAAATTTTGACGTCTATGATCACATTTTGCTCTCTTTCTTTCGATTCTTGTTTGAATTCGTTGAACTTCGGTGCGGACAGTTTGCTTCGGATCGACGCGGAACTTGTCAGCTGGCTTTTGAGGTTAGAATCGAAAAACGAAAAAATAAAAACATTATTCCGACTTACACCGGAACTCGATTGTCATAAGCTTCATTTGATTTCGTATTGAAATGAGAAATATTCCATTCAACTATTTACAGTGGAATTTTTCGCACATTCAAATATCACACATAACCTCTTATAAATCTAACCTGTGGATTAAAGTTTATCGTTTGACAAGAGAAAGAGAAAAACGTTAAAAAGTACGATTTTCTAAACTCTGTCAGCTCCGTAATTTATATCACGAAGATTTCAAAAAAGTAGAAAAGTTTCCGTTTTTTTTTTGCGAGGATTTTTCTGAAGTTGGTCCTGGGGCTACAGTAGAGGCCTTCTTCCCACTCCCGTTAAGCAAACTGCAAGGTTGGGGAGAGGAAAGAAGCCCTTCCTGTAATGATTATTGCTTCGCATACAAGCTTTCCTAACCTAGCAAAGGTAAAATGGTTCGGCTGCAAAATCTAGGGGCACGAAGATTTTCCATCAAGCCATTTTCCGCGATTAACTGTAATGGAATTGCCACGGGAGTTGAACTTTCATTCGGAACGTTCCCCGACGTGTTTTGACAGTTCGGAAATCCACTCATCCATGGCGACCGTGCACCATGGACGACCGGAGAGCTCGATTTTTGTGTTTTCCAGAAAAAAAGAAAAGTATTTACACAACATGGACAACTGTACAGGAAATACCCGAACTGCCCGGTGAAACATTCCGAGGAAAATGCGGCCCGAATTACGCGGACTTACACCCTAAAAGTAGTCAATACATGCACTCGCGAGAGTCTATACAAAAACGAATTTGTCTATGTTTTCACAGAAGAATCACATTTCAAGTATCTTCGGTAATGCTTCTCATTTTTTTTTTGCTATTCCTTAAGATTAACTCTAGTCTTATTTCGCATTTAGATTTAAAGAACTTTTTACATCCCTCAACCGCTTCCCTTTCACTAAGAATTTCTAATCTTACAATTTAAATTTAATAATTGACTTCAGTTTTCGTGGTTTTTTTTTTTGCTTTCCCATTTCCTCTTTCATCACACTTTGCAACCTTGGGGGCGGGGTGAAAAAAGATTCGTCCTAGCCTCTTTCGATCAAGTTTGATTTGACTAGCATTAACCGAAAAGGAAAGGAAAAGTACTGTTATGAATCTTTGTTTTTTTTTTCGTTTTTAAGGGCACATAGTTTACGCGTTAAATCGCGTTGGTTATCTCTTTGCTTGCACAAAGGAGTAAAACTGAGCGGAGAAAATCAGAAACAGTCAAAATTAGAATTTGGCAATCGCATTCAACTGCATTCTCGCTTGCACACAGACACGCAGCTGTCAAAATTTGACAGGTCTCTCGTACTCCAACGCGACACACGGTGTGTCGACCACGGGGTTTTTCCATTTCAATTTGATGAGATGAGCCTCCAATATACGTAGCTTTAGGTCGTTTTGGTTTTGAACAAAACAAACCAAAATAAAATCAACCACGCTTTCATACAAATCTCGCTGTTTTTAGATCTACAAATTTTTAACTTTCAACTTTTTCAAGCTCAAAAGTCTTATAACGTGTTGTTGTTGTCGTCTATCACTAATATCTAAACTGTTGTTTTTGATGTTATTATTTGGTTTGCTCCTACGCGTCCTACCGTGAGCTTTCTTAATGCTTGATGCTTTTAGATAAATTTGGAAGAATCTGAAGAAAAAATGGGCAAGATTCGATATTTTTTTTTTGCTGAGTGATTCGAAAAAAGATACTAACTACTATACTCAAACACACATACATACACTGTTTGACTGGAATCTTACAACACGTGAATCACATCGTGACGGAAAGTAACTCTTTTTTTTCTCCAAAATACTATCTAATTATTTTGTTTTAAGTTTCAACTTTGGAAGGAAACTGTGTTCTTTAACAAGAAGGAGAAGAACAAGGAACGCTATCGCTTGGAGCATTTTGCGTATTTGGTGAAGCAATTCGATTTTCTCTAGGGTTGTGATATGTTTTTTTTTATTTGCGAAGAGTAGATCTCTTCCTAAAGGAAGAATAGCCAAACAAGCGACAGAGTGTTTAATGACAAGCAATGTTTGCACAGTGGAACAGGGTTGGCAGCACTGGAAATTTGGTTGGAATACACCGAGGTGGCTGCAAAGCAAACAATGGTAGCCATCAGGTATCCACGCTTTCAATGCTTCTACTGTTGCCAATTGATGTTACCGGATGTAGGGTTTCTGTCATACATTTGCCACCAGTGTTGACGCAGTGAACACACTCACAAGGGCAGGGCACCATCGCTTCAGTCTCGGTCAGTAAGAGTGAAAATTGGCCGCCTGAATTCATTGCCTGCCAGTCTAACCACCATTGAGTAATCGAGTGTTTTGCGAGTGCCGGAAAAAAGTCACTTGTCCGCACAATCACAACATCAAACCTGAGATTAAAGTAGGCCACGCTGGAAAACTGACGTGTTTTGATTGTGCTGCTGGTTTTATTCTGTTTACAGGCACCGATGCGAATGTGACTTAACACTGGTGACCCGAGCGAAAACCTGCGGTGGAGTCAACAGGACTTAGTTAGACAATCTCACAGGTCAATTAAATAAAGGGCATTTGAAAGACCCAGATCATAAATGGGTTTGGCAGTGGTAGCAGTCAAAATACACACCTTTTTTTTGAAAATACGGCTCGCACTGGACGGCTCGCGAGAAGAATATGGATGATAACCTATGTCAGAAGTGCCTATCATTCGGATGGATCAATTTCAGCCAAAAAACCGTCCCCCCATTCCACTGTGCAAACATTGTTTTTTTTCCCATAATGCTTATGATGATGAACCCGCAGTTACGGTTGGATGTACACCTAAAAGAAAATCAACATTCAATTGCTGTCGCAAAAGGAAACGAAATTTAAATAAACTGCAACCCAGTAAGTAGAGCCAAACCGCTGACAAATGCCACGCGCTTCCTCGCAAGCTAATCACATTCCGGTACGGTGTGTTTTTAATTTTCAATTTTGGCGTGTCCCATCGGCATCCGTTCGTTCGTCAGTCCGTTCTTCTCTGTGCACTCTGATTAATTAGTAACCATTTTTTCCTCCTCATCAATCATCGATTTGTTTGTCTGTCTGACTGAGCCTGGTATACTTACAGTTTGAGATTCCACTCTACTACGTCTCGAAATTCCGAATAATTTCAAATATCTCAGCAGCTGCGGCTTTCCTCATCCGAAATCCATTCCTAGATTACCTCTTCCCTCCCCCTTACTAGGGCCACAATTGTATAGTAGCAGTGATTAATCGTAACTCATCAATTATTCTCGCAAAACAGAAAACGAAATACTTCTTCTGACTAGAGAGATTGCCTTAACCGTTTAACCTCCTGTTCGAGGCATAAATTACGTAATAAATTAGAACTACATATACTTCCTAGAGTGTGTTCCGTTTTCCATTCATCTCTTTTATAAAATTTTAACAAGAAGGAAAGTTCCCTCACAGCTTTCTAGTATTTCCTTTTTTTTCTTAGTGTAGTCTAGAGTAAGTGTATAACAGTGTGTAGTGTCGATTTAGGCGCCGCGAGTGCAAAACTAAAACCCGCCAGAAAAGGTGAAAACTAAGACCCATAAATAGACGAAGACCGGCTCTTCTTTAAACGCTAAATAGGGTGCCGACTAAGAGTATAATGATGCTAATAATAAATAACAATGAACAATCACTTGCGAGTTTTATTCCCCGCACTTTGCCTGCCAGGGATTGGAAACTCGCTTTATCCTCTATCTAGATCGGTGTCTTGCAGAACCGTCCTCTCGCAACGATTTACCAAATTTCCCATTATTATAGGGGATGAGAGGGGGGTACACAGTTTGTAGTATATATATTCACAGGCGTCGATCGATGTCTCAGTCAGTGCTTGATTGGAGTTTGTCTTTTCTTTTTTGCATTTCTCTTTTGATTGTTTGATTTCTTTAAGGAACAGTGATAGCTGTTGGTGTGTCGTGTTTGTACCCAGCGCCTAGGAAAAGGAACACTGACGGCAACTGGCAGCTGACGACGATGATGACGGTGACGGACGACGATGGGTGGTGTCTCACGCACTCGCCTGGTAATCGGCGAGCTGAAACTGTTCTTGATCTGTAAAAATTAAGATCGAATTAGTATTCAACAATTCAGAAAGCTAGAGAACTGAAAATGAGTGAAGTCACACTTACGAAGGTACTCACTTTCTAGGTAGGCCGCCAGCTCCCGGTCTTCGGCTTCCAGGGCCAATAGGCGAGCCGTTCGCCCGTTGTTGTCCTGGATGATCAAGCTGGCGCCAGCCGCCACGAGCATGTAGCATATGCTGCGCCGCTTACTGCTGGCCGCCTTGTGAAGGGCCGTCTGGCCGCTGTGAAAAGAATTGTTTGCAAAGTTGTTAAACTTTAGTTGGAAAATTATGTTAAAGATAAGACCTGTTTCCTCATTAAATTCATTTTCATTTAAATCTTCACCTAGCTTGGTTGAAAAAGAAGCTCGATTTCCAGAAAATAAAATATCTGCTTTGTAACCAACTTCAAACTTAAAATTTTTGGATTTAAATCGAAGATATAGGGCCTTATTATAGGTGTCACTACACGGTGATAAGGAAGTTATACTCATACTAAGAACCGTGATTGCCATACAAATCAAATGGGAATCACTTCACCGTGACGACAAGTGACAAGTTTTCACCGTGAAGTGACATCCGTAATAAGCCCCATAGTTTGGTTTTGAATTCCAAATTAATGTGGCTAAACGACCAACCCTTAACAAATTACATAACAACGATTCTAATGGATCGTGTTTAAACCTAATATTCAAACAGACCCGATGATTCTGAATCCCCTTGCCCCTTAAATTCGGCACAGTGGACCTGGCCGTTTGATGTATGTTGCGCATCTCTGATGTAGAATGCCCGTTGAATAGGCATTTAATAAAAAAAAAATGCATTTGATGTCCATCGTTTGTATAAACAAACAAAATAGGAAAAGAAAAATCGTCGCTCTGCACAATTAGGAGATTTTATTACTTTCGCGGCGGAGAAGGTTTTGTAGATTTCAGTTCATCCACCAGCATACCGTTTGGTTCAATAAATTACAATTACAATTACATACAGTTTGACCCAAGGGGTATTAAACTCTGCACATATTAATGCGTGCCGAGAGATTAAGCTGCGTCGAAAGCTGTGCCAACCGCTGTGCCGAACGTATCGAGGTATGCTACACGCAGGCAAAAGAACGTTAGAATTCATAAGATACATTTATTAATTTTAGCCACAAGAAATCAGTATGAATTTCATTGATTTGCCTTATGAAAAATAATGTTGACAAAAAAATAATAAATCGGAGCAGACTGGAACCGAACCATGGACGTTGAGATTACGGGGTCTGTATGTTGACCACTCATCTTTCAACGCTTGGAAAAATGGAATGGCTAAAGGCGTACAAGAGCTACCCCATGTTACTAGACATTCATTCATAAGTCACGCTTATGAAATTCATATTTGTTGTTCATAAGTCGAGCCTTATGAAATTATTAAGTCTATTTGCCTCAGTGTAGTTATTATGTCTTGGGATATGCGTTTGGCAACCCTGAAAGTAATAATGACATTTGAGATTGTATTTACATTTGCAATTTTTCTGATCGTTCTTGGCAAGCATTCAGCTTCATTCTCACAAGAGCATGAGCGGGAACTGGAAGTCATCGAACCTGTACCTTCAAATGAAACCATTTCACAAGATTCTTGCACTATGTCCCCCCTTTGAGTTACTGATTCCTTGCGGATGTGCAGAAACAAAGGCATAACTTGATCGATGGTAGACGAAATTGCCACCTCTTCGACTAAAGCAGACCCAGAACAAAAACGGATAATAGTTCAATCCCACATTCCACCCTAACAGCAACATCCTCGAACCAGCTTTTAATGAACTGATCGAGTCGGAAGTATGTGTCGATGAATATGATGCCTACTACCTGAACTCAATTACACACCACCAACCGTTCCAGCCTATCAAGCTGTCAAGCTCACGATATTATGCAGTAGTGGTACCTTACGGAATGTAACACCAATGAAAATCAATGGCCAATGTGTCACCGATGAAAACCACCAATTACCCTCCACTCCAGATCTGAAATACATCGGATATGAGACTCTCAGTCACCTTCAACGGAAGCGCTTTATCCAGGCCTGTAGGACTGCATAGAACTCGAAAAGTTTCAGCCCAGGGAACAGAAATCTCAAACTTAACCAATGAGGACGATTCGTGATTCAAGAGCTACAAGAAACGGCAAGAACATAGCTCGCAAACTCTGGATAAGCCGTATTTGAAACGAAAATCTATGAGGGGGTCTATATCAATTGCATATATGAGGGGGTTAGAAGGAAGGGGGTGTAATTGACTTTGATCGATTCTCTTAATCGACTTTCTCTTTTGATAGCCAAAGCTTTATAAACAGATGTTGCGCTATTCCTGCCACATAGTTTGATAAAGGAGGTTCTCATCTAGCATCCAGAATGGCACACGAATCAAGGATTGTGTTTGCAGCTGAAATACTAACGAAAGAGAAAGTCGATGAAGAGAATCGATCAAAGTCACTTACAGTTATAGTTACGTGAAAAATCACGTAGAGTATCTCTTTTTGGTTTGCCGTCATTTTTACATGACCCAAGTAGAATCTACATGACACCACTTATATATGAGGGGAAATTCCATTTGAAACCGTTACATTTTTTAATGAAGTTTACGTGATTCTATGTGCGTTTCACGTAAACCCAAAGTGATTTTCACGTCTGAAAAAATAAATGAGTGACACTCAATATGGCGCTAGTTCAGTGGGCATATTTTAGATGTTACTTTTTTGTGGGTTAATTTAATGTGGTAAGTTTAATTTACATAGAGAATATTTAAGTCTGTTTCTAGGGGGCGACCCCGGCGTAGTGGTTAGCATCCACACCGCTCACGCCAAAGTCACGAGTACAAATCTCACCCCCAGACAAGTCACAAATGACCCAAGAGTGTTAAAGTGACTATAACTTAAAAAAAAAGTTTGTTTCTCTTTTAGTGTGACAGCATCATTCATGGTGTAAGATCAGGATAGGTATTTGTAATACATGTATGTTTTCCCGTTCCCGATCCTTGGCCCGATCGAATCTAGTTTCAATACGTTTTTGTTGCCGATGTATATATTTTATGACAAAGTAAAGGCATATGCTTAAAATAATACTAGATCTTTGCCTAATGCGAAATCAAGAATACATTTTATTCAAATTGTAGCAGAATTAACATCATTAGAAATCACCATGAGCTGTACTGAAAGAATCACGTAACTTCTATGTGATAATCCAGTGACGTTGAAACTCACTGAAATGAGTGCTTTCATATGAGAATCACGTAAGGTCCACGTGAAAAGTGCTATGGAAAAAATCTATGTATGTTTTCACGTAGCATTAACGTGAGGATTATTTTGAGTGTATATTCATACGTAAGTCAAAAATGTGCCTAGGATATTTTTTAATTTGTCCAGAGAAGCAGGATAGCTCAATAAATCGACTAGTATACTCAGTTTTCAAGAAGATTCCAAATTCAAAACTATTTGAACATCCCTATAAAAACCTGACGATTTTGATGGAGATTTTCGTTGCTGCCGGAGAAGGTAGCAGGGAGTTTCGATGAAGTTTTGCGTGTTCACGGTGGAAAGAATACCGCACGATTTCGGTGGAGTTTTCCGGACGAGTTCAGTGTTGTCAACGGAGGTTCCAGTGAGTTTCGACGGAGTTTTCTCACGTTTTCTGTGGAGGAGGTTCTGCACGATTCTGGTGGTGATTTCCGATGCTGCCAACGGAGGTTCCAGCAGGTTTCGACAGAGTTTCTCGCGTCCGATGCTGCCAGCTGGAGTAATTTTGTCGAGCCAGGAGTGTGGATTTGAGCGAACCGAGGCGAACTACAAAACAGAACAGGGTTGAGCCTCCGGTTCGACTGGTCGTTTCTGTAGACGACTTATATCAAAGAGAACTTCATCGCCTCTCTTAGCTTTGTTGGAAGCGTCCTTCAAAACGTCCGTTGGATCCTTCTTCATGTCGTCTTCAACGAACTTGGCATCCCGGGTAATGTAGATTTTTCGCGTGGTTCTGTCCAGGAAGCGATAAGCTTTATGATCCGAGGAGTAACCCACAGAAGTTCAACTTTTGTGCTGTTGCGTCCAGTTTCTTCCTCTTTACCTTTTGGATGTGAACCCAAGCACTGCAGCCGAAAATCTTGAGTTGATCCGAGGGGGGCGACTCTATCTACGATGCAGAAAATATTGTGTTTTGCTGTGGCTAGCTGCTCGCACGCTGAGTAGATAGAAAGAAGATTGATGACGATTCTGAAGATTTCCTGCAAAAAGATGTTTTTTTTTTCCTTTGGTTTGTTTTTTTTCCATTGATCTTGTTTTCTGTGCTGAGCACCAATGCTACCGACGTGCCAGGAAGGCAGCTCCTACACCTGGACCCTACCTATCGACCCATCAACTCATGAACCGGGGACCAACAGCTTTACTTCCCATCCGAAGGAAGGCGTGATCAGAGATGTTATGCCCCAGAACATCCCGGCGGCACCGACTGGGATTGAACCCAGGCCTGCTGGGATGAGAGGTAATCACGCTTACCACTACACCACCAGCGCCGTTATGCAAAAAGATGATGCGCGATGCAAGTAGATGCGTGAAATGAAAGAAGATTTTTCGAAGATTAATTCACTAGTGTGAGATTTTTTGAGCATCTAGAATTGAGATTTAGATGTGTCGCCCCCCTCGAGTTGATCGACCGTCCAAAGCTCGAATGGTGTGACGTCGAGAGGCTTCGTTGGCAGAATGTTTTGCAGGTAGACTTCTGTGGTCAGCGCTTCTGCCCAGTAGCATTGCTCTAACTGTGCATCGAAAAGCATGCATCGTTTTGCTGGGGACTATAACAGGCGGTGTACTGCGCCGATATTCCCTCTCGCTTGTAGAACGCACTTAGCTTGCTTACTGCTGTACTCGCCACCCTGATCAGAGCGGATAGCCTTTGGCTTTTGGCCAAAAAATGTCTTGGCGTAGACAACGTACTCCTCGATTTTTGTGGCGACCTCGGACATTAGGCTGTGGTCGTCGATCATGGTCATAAAGTACCTGTAACCGCCAACCGATGGCACCTCAACTGGGCCGCAGACGTCCGTGTGCACCAGGTTCATTGGTGCTTTCGATCTAAAATGAGATTCACATGGTAAACGGGTGCGTGGCTTCTTGCCCTGTAAGCAGCATTCACACGTTTCGTCGATGCTGCACCGGGAGAGCATCAGACCGTCCACTAGTTCGTCCTTCGCCAAATGGTCGATTGCTTTCGGTTCCCGGTGGCCAAACCGGCGATGCAGTCCTTGTTATGGTGGCCGCTTGCCACCATTACGACGTCTTCCGGATGCTTTATTTGGTAGAGCCCCTGCTTCAAACGCGCCACGGCGATGGTGGCGTCTCTACGAAGAATTCGACAGCCGGTCGCGTCGAAGACAACTGTAACTTGCTTTTAAACGAGAGCCGGAACGGAAAGTAGGCTCATCGAGAGGGTGGGGGCGTAGAGCGCAAAGCTGATGTCCATTTCACGACGATGTCAATGCTCGTCGGCGCACTTGACTACGCAGCAACCTACACCGCGCACCTCCGCTTGTTTCCCTTCCACCAGGTTGACGAACTTAACTTCGCTTTCACGTACTTCTCGGAAAAGCTACCGATCCGCTACGGTGTGCCGTGTAGCACCGGAATCGACGACCCACGGCTTGACAGCTTCACCATCCGATGCTCCTCCTGCAGCTAGCGCGAACGAAACTGTTTCCTTCTTGCTGGTGGCTATTCCTTGTTGAGGTTGAGGTTGCGATTTTGTTTATGCCTTGGATTTTGGATTGGATTTTGTTTATGCCCCAGTGGCATTCAATTGGCTTCTTCCTCTTCTTGCTGTCATGGCCGACCCGCAGCACCGAGCTCGATCCAGCACCTTGTCACTTTGCTGCCTCTTCCAGGAGCTTCCTTTTGATTAGCTCCAGCGTGAGGTCATCATCCGACGAATCTATCTTAATTATATATAATCGGATATTAGCCTTCCGTGCTATAACCCCCCTCGTGTATGCTTCACTAACTGCAGTTCCCCCATTGACTATGATCTCTCCATGAAAGAGGCAATGCAATAGAAGATTTTTCACTGATGGATCACGCATTGATGGATCCACTGGCTTCGGCGTCTTCAATGAATACTCAACCCACTTCCGGAAACTTCAGAAACCTTGTTCCGTTTATGTTGCTGAGCTAGCAGCAATCAACTTCGCATTGGGGATGCTTTCCGACATGCCCATAGACCATTACTTCATCTTCTCGGATAGTCTCAGTTCGATTGAGGCTATTGGGTCGATGAAACAAGGTAGGCACTCATCTTATTTCCTTTCAAAGGTAAGGGACCAGATGAGTTTACTGGTTGAAAGATGTGATTACCTTTGTATAGGTCCCCTCACGTTGCTCAATCCCAGGCAAATAAGAAGGCAGACTCTTTCGCAAAAGTGGGCGCACAACAAGGCGAGATTTATGATAGAATAATTTCATACGATGAATTTTTCCCATTAGAACGTCAGAGTTCTCTTTTAAGTTGGCAAAACGATTGGATTGGATTGTAATTCTCTTGGGCGGTGGTTACATTCCATTATTCCAAATGTTTCTTCAAAGGTCTGGATGTAAGTTGGGGCTTCATTCGCGTGATTTCAAGACTTATGTCCAACCACTACTCGCCTGACGCACATCTCTACAGAATAAACCCCGTTGACAGCAATATATATATATGTAGGTGCAGAACCGGTTCCCAGGTAATGACGCCTCCAGAGCAAGACTGTTGGATACCCTAGTGGCCCGAGGTAGACAACCCTTCCGTGATCCTCCCTACATGCATGTTACAGTTTGATGTGACCATCCCCTCCTTTCCAAAAAATTTCCAACCATTGTGTCCCAGTCTTATTATCCTCCTGTTTCTGTGCTACTTGCCCATGCCCAGTCAGGATTTGGTCAACCGTCCGAGAGTAGTATCTGAAGGAGTTTTCAGAAACCAGTTTCCTACCTAGGTCCTTCCAATCGAAATTGCTACCCATTAATCTCGAACCCGCCACGAGTAATTTGTCCCCAATACTAACCTAGAACTACTGCTGTTTAAAATTTAAATTCAAACATTACTTATTTTTTGGCCCCGCAAAGTGTCACACACGACTGAGCCTAGTAAATAAAAGAACTAATTAAAAAAACCTTGACTTGAGAAAATACTTGTGATTTCGAAAAAATATTCCATGATCTCAGATCTAGACCAAAAAGCCGTGATTCATTGGATACTACAAACAAATCTCTGACTTCAACAATTTTAAAAACCTTTAGATTTGATTTACAATCTAGGATTTAAGTTCCAAACCGCTAATAGGGCTGTATCCGTCAGCTTCACCTGCAGATGTGGTTATCGTCCATCTAAATAAAATCCCAACGACTCCAACCATTTATTCAGCATACACAAAGTTACCAACTGTGCCGTCACTCCGTTGAAACTCGTATAATTTTCTATTAAATGTGTTGCCAGAAACAAATGTTTACCACTCCACTTTCCACAGTGTTTTATATCCCTCCTTTTTGCCATACTTACGTTTCGTTGTCGATCATGTTGACGATGCTGTTCGGTGCATAGGAAATCAGATACCGCACAATGTCCTTGTGTCCATACCGGGCAGCGTAGTGCAGTGCCGTCTGGCCGCTGGAATCGATCGACAGCAGCGAATATCCTTGCAGGTGCAGGTCCTTCAGCTGAAACGAACAAGGAAAAAAAATGTCATAATTTAATTCGCTGTGTAAAAGTTAGTTTGCTATTGCTGCGAGAAGAGTCTTAAAGGCCACTGGGGAGAAGAATTCCAGCAGAATTTCAATGAGGAATTAATTTACTCCACTGGAGGAGAGGAGAATAAGTCGAGTCGAGAGTCAAATTTTGACCTGTTTCTGCAAAGCAAAAAAAATAGTGACGCAAAGAAGGCAACCGGTCTTTTCGAGAACAATAGGGTGGAAATAAACTTTTAATTAAAAAGCGCATATTTTTTCATGGTTCCCTGCTCTCTTTGAGTTATGACCGCAGTTCGGCCAGGCCCGGTTCATAGTCTCACGTTTCGGGGCAGGAATTTTTCTCTCATCAGTTTTTTGTTGTTGTTGTTGTTGTTGAATGCTGCAAGGTGGGAAAACTTCTCCAGATGAACGGAGCTCTCCAAAGATAAACAACAGATCCTTTCTGGCAGGAGAAAACTTTACCTTGTAGGCGTTAAATGGTTACGAAATTTATTGCACCTTATGCTAGAGTACTCGCTCAAGTTTCCGTATCTTGTCGAGTGCAGTTCGCCTTTGCTAGGGGAGTAATTTGTGAAGAGTTTAAGGGAAAAGATTGAATTTTGAAAAGTTTTTTTTCCTCTGGATAAGAAAGGCAAAGGTTTTACGATATCCGAATTACAGCTGACAGTAAACTGACAGCATCGAGGAAAATTTGATTAAACTCGCGAAAGACATTAAATTTCCATAGCTACCAAAGCCTGCTTGGACTTTTCTCCCAAGAAAGCTATTTAAAATCGGCACCAAATCACTTACCATCACCAAATCACCCGTTTTGGCAGCCTTAATCACCGCATCCGTTGTCTTCTCCAGTAGATTGCTGGATTTGTGTTTCGCAGAACGCGCGTCACCACCGAGAGTTATGCAAATGTTTGCCGCAATTACAGCGCCGGAAGCAGCAGGTGGTGGCAGTAGTAACAAGCAGCAATATGGTGGGCAGTTGTCAACATCACCACCAACACGGCACGGTCAGCAGATAGGTAGAGGAAAATGAAACGAGAAAAATTTAACAAATTAATTTAGCAGTGTTATTGTGTTTTATACCGAGGAAAAAAAATTACGCTTTAAGCTACAATTAGCGTTGCCTCGTACCAGGTTAGCAGAGGTGAATATATTATGTACACGAGAAAATGTGACGAGAGATAAACAAATCACATAAATCATGCCTAATTTGGTTGAGCTTGAAGGTAGTATACGGGCGGCATGTTGTAATGTTGTTCTACTGTTTACATACACGCTAATATGAATATATGTACGAATCAATTATTTACAGGCAGGAAATGCGATGAGATTAGATGAAATTGAGTGCCCAAATAAGAGCAAATGAGTAGAGGAATGGGAGGGAACACAGAAACACTCTCAATTAAGGCCTACTATGTACATTTACATTCAGCTACGCAGGGAAACGCATGCAAGGTGAAAGAAGGATCCTACGGTGAGTCGTCACGCATTTAATCTTCTTCGGTAAGAGCTTCGCTTTATCTCGCTGTTTAGGTTCCAGAAGAATACTGATGTTTCAATGCACAAGCACACATACATTGAATGGCGAATGATAAGGATGACTGGTACAGTACCCTAACAGTAGTATGAAGTTAAAATTTTATTCAATCTAATTGCATTATAGATTGGACGTAAATTTAGTTTCTCATATTATTTGGTAGGGAAAGAACCGGTTTTGTGAATTGAATATCCCCTTTATGTACCCCCTAAAGATAATAGGTAAAGGCATTGACACTTCAGCTCTGTTGTACAATATAGTAGCTGGCGGTTTGGGATTTGTGGGAATTTCCGAAACGATTGAACGTTTGCTTCATGATCAAACCCTAGAAATCCTTTCATAGATTCCTTATGAGAAGGTGAAAGTAGTGTTTTCTACTCCGACAAATCTTCACTATAAAATGAACACTCTCTAACGGTTAAAAAGCTATCAGTGAACTTCATTTCTAGGGAAATAACGCGGTTTTTAATTATTGAGAGTGATCGATCTTCATTAATAATTTACCATGTTATTCAATGTTATCCAATGCATTACTGCATTTCGAAACGAGAAGTTTGGGGCGTTGTAAAAACGCTTTCAAAATAGATCGATAGAGAAGCAAGCAGCAGCAGAATGCATACAAACAAACACTGCAAATGTGTGCGTGACGCTGAGAAAATGCCAATACTCGATAACTTTTTTTCAAATGGACGTATAAGCTTTTGTAAACAATGCATTTGATCGTCGATTTGACGTAACTGGTAGCTCGCACACGCTTACTAACCCCTACCCGCTAGTGGTGTTAGTAAGCGTGTGCGTGCTACCAGTTACGGCAAATCGACGATCAAATGCATCAAACGCGGACGCTGCTTAGATTGACAAGAATATGTAAATTCCCCTATCTAATTTAATTTTTTGATGAATTTAAAAAAAAATATCAACCATTTTGATTCTCAACTCTATAGGCTGAAATTTCCCCCTTCCTTATTCCAGCGCCTGTGTATAATTATGCAAAACTTCCAAGCCGAAAATAGTTACACACCGACCTAAAATGGACACAGGTATTTTTCGATGCACGAAACCACAATATTTCCACGATTTCACAAATCTCAGGTAATCATGACGTTTGAACATTAAAAGCAAACTGAAAGAAAAGGGAACTGCAACCGCATCATGATGGCCATTGAGATTTGTCAAATGAGGGCAACATTGTTATCGCATGCATCGAAGGATGAAAGCAAAAAAAAATCAAACCAACCAAAAACTGCGAAACATCCAGGGAGCAGTTCCATTAATTTAATGAGGGGGGGTCTTAATTGCACACAACTGCTAAACATTGAACGCTCGGACGGGTCCGACACCACCAATCGGGTCCCGGATGTCATCCAATATCAATACAACGAAAAATAGCCTACTACGATGTGCCTGCTCCAATGCAACAATAATCACCTGAATCCGAAGGCATCTTCGTTCAACCCGAACAATCGCTCGTGGAAGCTGTTTGCCCGTTGACAGTTGCGGATGAGCGTGAGGGTGAGTTTTGTGTCGTTTTGGATTCGATACACGTGGGTGGCGGGGTGGATTTGATTTAGCGTGCATTGTTTTGATTTTCATTAGTGAAGAATAGATAGCAGTGTGAAGAAGAAAGAGAAAATGTTGAGAAATTTTAATAATTATAAATTGTGTAGTTAAAAGAGTGAGAAATTTCAAAGCATTCCGAACGAGGTGAGAAAATTCCAGGAAAGACGGAGAAAAACAGGGAAAACCACTGCCTGCCACGCTTATAATGGAGCTTTATGCTGGTGGGGTAGGTGACCGAAACGAGCTTCTCGCCTAGTGCCTGCCATTTGCCAGTTGTCTATTTTTATTTTGTCAAAGGTTTGCAGCAGGAGAAGAAGGTTGAAGATGGATGATGGGAAAAACATCATCCAGCGATCCAACGGTGCCGTCGATGGTCGTCTTTGAAGTCATTGAATTACTCAGGACTGGGAACTGGGAAAGGGGAATGGAGAAGGAGATGAAGGAGCAGGATCAGACGAGTATTCAAACATCATTTAAATTTCCATTTAATGAAGAGCAAACATGACACGTGGAGGAGATAAAGGCAGTCATATTCCTTTTTCTACTTTGCGCTCGTGTGCACAACGCTCTGGGAAGGAATGAATGTACGGTTAGTGTGAAAAGGCTTTGCCTCCTAACTGTGGCCGTTTTTGTTGTTGTGAGACAGGCTCTTTTGAGAGGAAAAACGAGGCAGGCAAAAGGATCTGTTTATTTGAATAGAATTAGTGTGAAAGAAAACGAGGTTCAACCTGTTGTGTTAGAGATCCGGAAAGTTGAAAATAAGCTAAAGTTTCGGAATGTTACCTCCTAAAGTTGACCAACTGATCCAGACTTTGACCATTGCCGAGGGTTCCTGCACTGTGGCTATCCGAAACGCCGAGATTGTTCCGAGGACTGTCCTGCGATCCATGCGAACCCTGGGAACCTTGAGAACCTAAACAAAATAGACCCGTTAGGAACCCTTCAAAAACATCACGGGAGCAAAATAATGCGACTCACTCTTTCTCGATGGAATGTCAAGGGCGGGAGACAGCGTATCTGATGTACTGCCCGAGCCGGGGCCCGACAAGGATCGGTGGAAGAACTTCAACCCTGGCGATTGGGGTGTTCCATCGCGTGATTCTCGGTCGCTGGATTCCACACTACTCAGGTGCCCCGCGATAGAAGATCCTTCCTTCGGCAGGTGGCCGCCACTTTCGTCTTCCGGTGTCTGCGGTAGCGTGGGACACTCCTGATCCAACAAGAAGATGCAATCGGTGGCAATGTCGGTAATAAAGTGGAGATTTTCCTGCGCTCGGTCCACCCGGAAGAACCGCTCCGCTGTGCAAGCTGCGTATGGAGAGAAGTGGCAATTGTAGGGTTTCGAAGTTCGTGATGTGAGAAAGGGTACTTACAATCGATAAAGCACCACTCCGGCGACAACTTCGGACTATCCGGTTGTTCTTCGCAGTACTTGTTGATGAGGACTCGGACCTGCTCGAGATCGGTGACGGGCACTTCCAGCGTGCCCAGGTTGACTGCCGAGTTCTTCAGCAGGTCCTTGTCGTAGTGATTCTGCTCGTAATCGGACATCATGATCTTCATCAGACCTAGGTTGAGAGATTCGCATTTTTCTTGCCTGGAAAAATAGTAACTACAGATTATTTAAGTCCGGCAAAAGGCTAACGAAGGGTCAACATACAGCACATTGGCCCTTCCGGGCTTCCGTTTCGCCAGCATCACAGCCTTGTTCAGCAGGGTCATTTCAATGGTGGACGGCTTGAGCTTGCACGCCTCGCCGTCCACCTGCATCGGGATGGTTTTGGAGGTGACAATCTTGGCAGACTTGCACTGCGCTATACAGGTCCCGTGGCCACCGGCCTGCAGCAGCGGGAGCTGATATGTCGTCAGTCCAACCACCTCGATCATACCGTCGTCGGTTGCCGGTTCGAACTGACCACCGGACTTGTTCCACGGATGGGTTCCACCTCCGTAGCTGCAAGAGTTGATCAATCAGTATCTGGATGAAACCAACCGTAGTCATCAACTTACCTTGGAATGTTCAGAAATACTATCGCATGCACCTTGTGCTCCTTCAGCTTCGAGGTCAGATCCTTGCCGTCGCACTCCAGCGTGACAAACTCGGCCAAACCCTTCCACTTTCGCTTCAGCAGATCCTTTCCGCCCGCCTGCCCGTAGAACATCTTGTTCCGCAACCGGGAGTTGAACTTCTCCGGATGGGCCTCTGTAGATGTTAAATCAAGTAAATCGTAAGAAGCATCACTAAGACTTCAAACCTACCTCTCGCCTCGTGGAACTCCAGCGCAATGTGGGCATCAACTCCCAGTGAAAAGTAGTTGTTGACCACATTCAGCGGGAGATTGTCCTTGCCATCTTCGGCGTTCGTCACGGCAGTGTTCGGTTCCACCTTCAAGTTCCACCGGTCCAGCAGGACCGTGTCCGAGTTACCGATGTTGCCCAGAATCTTCCCAATCGGCTCGTCCGTATAGCCCTACCGAAACGAAACGAAAGTCGAACGAAATCAAGAGATTATGACGACCATGCCTTTTTCCCCTTCAGGGGGAACCAATTTGCCGTAAATAATCCATTCCAAATGATTGCACCCCGTCCATCCCACTCAAATGGAAAACAATAGCGCCCGGGGGTAGGCAAAAGCAAGGCGGGAACCATCGAAATAATGCCGGGACGGAAAAGGAGAGATTTGAAATCAATTCCCCGGTAATGGTGTTAGATTCGGTCTTGCGGTTCGTCCGTCCGTGCGTTGTAACTTTGTGTCGTGTAAAATCCTAGAACGCTCACACAGACAGACAGACAGACAGACAGGGGGATGGAGCTATTGTTGGTCGAATGACATCCAGAAACAATCACGTTTTTCAATCAATTTACTTTTATCTCTTCAAATCAAATATTATTTTATTCGCCGAGTACAAATGCCAGCCCGGCAAGCATGAGTTTCGACGCAGGACTTGTTGGGTGCAAAGAGGTCACATGTGGTGCTGCGGAGAGGTGGAGCACTTATATGTGAAGCACGATTTTGCATTGGCTTGATAATGCTCCGATTTGGTCGGTTGGTTGGTTGAGAAGCTTTCGATTTTTACGACAAATTGCGACATCGATTGGAAGTATATGGGATGGACAAATTGCGTGTCTCGCTTTTCAAATGAATGCGGGAAAGTCGTCTGCCTACGTGGTGAATTTTGTGTACGAATGATGCGACGGCTGGGGGGGGAAGTCTGAGACTTTCTGGGTCGTAGAGACAGCACTGGATAAAGACCTCTACACTGGGGTGTTTCATTTTGAAAATGGTATTTGCAATCCAGAATTCATAACTTCAAAGTATGAGCCTGTGCAAATAAGGGATACAATTTAATGAATCTTTGCCATCACCGACCTTCACTGATTTGTAGTAAACTTTGCATAGTTGTTCCAGGCTTTTCCCCAATCTCCCGGTTCGCTCGTCACTCTGCTCATGCCACACTTGGCCTATACCATGCGATCTACTCGCCACAAATGAGGGAGCAAGATATATCGTCGGATTCGTGCAATACTGGCACAACTCAAAATCTGTGAATTTTCACAATCAAGTTTCAATTTGATACATCTTTTCATTTCCATATCAACAATCAGATCAGATCTACTTTTAATTTGAGGGGTGCCCATTTGTCATGTAAAACTGGGCTTACTTTTTTGAGTTGTGACCATATTGCATGCAAAAACAACATGCTGAAGGACAACCAAATTTAGAATTTATATTGCCAACTCAAAATGTGTCTTTGATGGTATATTTTGGCCTATAACTTTCGATTTTTCAGGAATTTAAAAATGGGTTTTTGTGGGATGAAACTTCACACTATTTGCCGTAATTTGCCATGAAAATCTCAAAAATTAAAAATTTCGACTTGTGACAGTATTGCATGAAACCGATGAAGTATTTTTTTTTTCAGCAGATTCGTAGAGTTATTTCCTATCGATTGGGGTATTTGGATTTTAATTCATCTATAAATGACAAAGTTACAAGCGTTCAAAACCTAACACCTTTTTGTAATGGTTGCAATTTTAGATTTACCTCCTGTACCTTCCCGTAAGAGGTAGTCTACTACAAAAAAATCATAAAGGTTTACAATCTCAATTTCCCATGTTTTAGATAAACTATTTAGAAGAGCAACGCGGTGTGAAATTTTCTACGGCAAAAAGGTAAAACTAAGAAGACACTTACACCGCCCCATCCGAGGGCCCGCGCCAGATCATTTCCCGTACCGAGCGGCAGCACGCCGACGGCCGGCGCAGGCACAAAGTTGATCTGGTCCAGTACCGAGAGGACCCATCCGACTGTTCCGTCACCGCCGCAGGCCAGCACTCGCAGCTGGGGCACTTTGCGAAACATCTCCAATCTGAAAGAAAGGAAGAAAGGAAGATAAATCAAACTTTTTTTAGTGCTGATTCTCAAGTGTTAAGTACTATAAATTACCCCATTTTCGGTCCACCTTGCGTCAGATCGAACACCTGTCGGGGATTGAGCAACCATTGGAACTTTTGCAACAGTTTGGCACCCTGGAAGGAAGCAAACATTAACATTTATAACAACATTCGTGTGATTTTTTTCCCAAACCTGATTGCCACCGGATTTCGGATTGATAAACACCAGCACCGGGGTGATGTTGGCGGTCGGGATGGGTTTGACCACGAACGTGCGCGGTTCCTTCGGGACCGAGCTTTTCTTGCCGGCCTTCTTTTTCTTCTGGGACGTTTTCCTCAGCGACGATTTGAAGCTGCCCTTCCGCGGGAGCTTCACGATCCAAGACGGTGGCACCACGATGCTACGATGGGTTCCTGGCGATGTAATCAATGTGAGGAAAGGAATCGTAAATCACTTCATTTTGACACCGGAGCGAGAAAAGCGGTTGCCTTACCTAGCGTGCACTCTTCGCCGATCCGTTCCGGGTTGAAGCACGCTTCCTTGTTATGATATGATGATTTACACCAGGCACATGATAAAGCAACAATTTCCTTAGAACTAAACGAGAGCTTCGCTTGGAGTGACTGAAATGGGAAGTGGAAGGAAATCGCGATGAACATTACGATCAGTGTAGAAAAGCTTAAATTTTTAAAAACTTTGTAAAAATCTAAATTAAGCGAAAACTGACAGCAGGTACACTCCTGAAAATTAAAAATAAATGGAAAGGTAGTTAAAAACCACACGAGACCACTCCATAACAAGCTCCCACAGGAATGAATCAACAGTATATTAAATGGTTGCCAAAGGCAATCGGCGGTATTGTGGCATGTCTGCAACCCTTCCCCTTTAGTTACTCACTATATGCTATGTTATTTGAATATTTTATTCAGCTCTAAACATACTCGCATGATCACACGCCACGCCGAACACGAGCACGGTTATTGCTGCCTCTGGAATTTTATGATTGGGTAGCATATTTTGTTGAGCACCGCGCTCGTGAAACCAGGACAAAGGATTATTAATTATTCAATCAGTCATACAGTCGACCAGAGACCCGGGCCTTGTCGGTTGAGTGGCGAGGAGAATTAGTTCAGTCGAAATGTATGCAACTTATGCCCGAAATTTATATGGGACTAATTCGTTGCTGACTGGTTGGGATTAGTTCACACAAAGGGGTTTTAGGCTGTGGTCAATAAAATTCAAATTAGTCCCTAATCTGCGAAATTAGATACCCGATTACATTGCATTTGAAGTAGATTTTCGTGATGGGTGGACATTTGCTTATTTCTAAATAGGTAGTTCGTGGAACTTAAGTTAGCCAGATTTAAGCAACGAAAAATACAGTGAAACTCGGAGGCAGAGCACCAAACAATAAAAAGGAAAAACCGATCGGAGCTCAAAGCAGCACAAACCGAGTAATGGGAAGCGAAGCGAACTCTTGCTCTAGAATTTTCAGAATTAATCACGATAAAAATCAAACAATTAATCGCCATCATATTCACAAAACGAATTTATCTATTCACGGTGACAGGGTTGCCAGCAGCTTTTCAAAAATAACTGGAAAAATACACCAAAACAATCTGGAAGAATACTGGATCCTTCTTTAAAATAAATAAATAAAACCGAAAGCGATTAAGCTGAAGAGGTTAAATGGGCCATTACTAAGATAGCAGCATTTTATTCTTAAATTTGGTTCTGCGTTCGAAGTCGTCAAAATTTGTCTATGTTTTAACTACCTTGAAAATTCGTTCAAAAGGATTTTGTTGGATTTACCTTAAGATTTGTTTAAACGTTTCACACACAAGCAACTATTTTTTTTTTAAATTAATTTGAAATCTCATTAGAGTTCAATTGTATTAAAATTTTGCTAAGAATTATCATGAAGTTCTCCTCTCAATTTGAATTGAAACTTTACTTGGGATTCTCCATAAAATTCTATAAATTTTTTTTAAGATGCCCTTGAAATTATCCTCGGAATTCACAGAATCCATTTGGAATTGAACCCTCAACATTCAATTCCCTTGGTATTTTCCTCTTCACAATCGTCATAAAATTTTCCACAGAGCTACTTCGCTCACACAATTGACTTGGAGCTCTAGTCAAAACTCTTTGAAGTAATACCTCGAAATCTGCTATTCATCTAATGGATATTTTTAATCGCTATTGAAATTTTTTTTAGATGGCCCAAATTAGGGGCATTTAGGCCGACATTACTTCCAACTTCCGACATTGTTTTTGCAAAGTTGGTTTATTCAACCTCCTCTCCTAGGCTTAATGCCCGCACCTTGGACTTAACACTACCCATCAAATCCTGTGCAACACTTGCGCCATCTGAAGAACTTAAGAACTGAAGAACTGAAGAACTGAAGAACTGAAGAACTGAAGAGCTGAAGAACTGAAGAACTGAAGAACTGAAGAACTGAAGAACTGAAGAACTGAAGAACTGAAGAACTGAAGAACTGAAGAACTGAAAAACTGAAGAACTGAAGAACTGAAGAACTGAAGAACTGAAGAACTGAAGAACTGAAGAACTGAAGAACTGAAGAACTGAAGAACTGAAGAACTGAAGAACTGATGAACTGATGAACTGAAGAACTGAAGAACTGAAGAACTGAAGAACTGAAGAACTGAAGAACTGAAGAACTGAAGAACTGAAGAACTGAAGAACTGAAGAACTGAAGAACTGAAGAACTGAAGAACTGAAGAGCTTGAGCTTGAGCTTGAGCTTGATTGACCGCCCACGGTTGCTACTCTGTTATTGCCAGATCAGCTGTAATTACACAGAGAACCAATAGACGATGCTTGGGACTAGCAATCATCCTCAATGTGTAAAAACTGGTGATCTCAAACTAGGCAATACCAGCGCCGGCCGCGCCCGAACACAGGTCAAGAAAGGAATGGGAAGGATTGTGTTGACATGACACTCGCTTTGATGGAAGCCGAGAACACCTCTGCACTTCCACGAGGAATCACTGGGATGTTGGATAAGAGGGTTGGGTTTGCAGCAGGGTTCGTTTTGGTAAACGATAAGCTGAATTGATGTCCTAACGATCATATAACACGAAGGAGCTTGGGACTAAACCCACGGTCTTCTGCTCAGTAAGCAAAAACGTTTGCCACTAGGCAGACGAGCACCTTTTTAATCACCAAGTTGCTATTATTACCATGTAGTCATATTAACAAATAAAACGATTGACGAATCTTGAATGTGGATGGGCCTGAGATTAGACTCATGATGTTCTGCTCAGTAAGCAAAAACGGTTGCTCTAAGGCCACCGAGCCCCTCATATCACATAATACCGTTGCTCAAATTTTTGTATCCATTCAAACCCGGAACCAACGACAACAACGAATTTCGCAAAATACACGATACACAAGCGATTTTACTATTAATCTCTTTGATATGTAAGGACCTGGGACCGCGTTTTTCTGCTCAGTAAGCAGGCCACTGTAACCGACGATCTTTCAAATCCGAAAACTAAAAACTACGAAAAAGTACTAAGGCCTTCATTAAGTTCCACTTTCACGCGACGTACAATGTTTCAATTTGCTCTTTACGTATTGTTCAGGCTAGGCCCTTTTCAAAAGTTACGCGAGAAATACGCACAATCGTCGCCTACCTCGCAAAACTGGTTCCAAACGACAACAAAGGCATAAGCAACGATGGATTGTTGAACTTTGCTGGCTCCGGTGGTGTAGTGCACAGCAAAAAAAAAAGTAATATCGATCAACGTAATTCAAGCTGATGTATGAAATAATGATGTAATTGTAATTTTATAATTAATCAGCACACACCCTGGTCGACCACTGTAAACCAATCTGCCGTTCAGCGTTATCGGTTTTTGTTTCTGGATCTTTAGTTGCCTCTGTGATATACTTACTTGCGGCATACTATTTTGGGAGTGTATATGAGCGTGTACCATGTACGGTAGCTCATCTCTCATCGTGATGGTGGGACATAGTAGACAAATTAGAGAGAAAACAAGGAGGTATTAGTATTAGTTATAAGTAAACAAACAAAACAAAAGTTAGATAATGCGGCACTGTAACTACTACTATTTTAGAGGTATGATTCGTCAAGTTTAACTCAATGTTTCAATTGGGTTCTTTAAGGGTATTGAGGTAAATACATATTCGTAATCTGCATTAAAAATGGAACCCAAACCCAAAATTTTATCAATTTGGGTACACTGGAACTATTTTAAATAAGTTCGATTACATTTGCAAAAATCACCTTATTAGCGCCCCTCGGTGTCACTTTGTATGGGAGCGAGCTGTCAGTTTGTTAGTATAGTGTCAAACAGTGAAGTTGTTATTTTGCTTTAAATCTTAATTTAAAAATCGAGATGAAAGTGTGTGGATTCGAAAAAAATATCGCTGTGCTCCGAAAACGAAGCTCTATCGGATGATGTATAAAAAACAATACATTTTTCAAAATTAAAGAACCCAATTGAGGCAAACTATCTATCTTACAATTACAAAAGCAAACCTAAACTTACAATTATATGCAAATGCAAAATGAAACTTGACAAATCATCGTCAATCCCCTTATTCCAGGGCAGGGCCTGACGATTTGAATCTAATTTTGATCAGTACATATATTTGGTACATTTTTTCACCATGAACCTATCATTTCCAGCCTATCTGAACTATTTAATAAATGGAAGCCATAACATGGGTTACGCTCCCCCTAAGCGGGCCCTCCGCATCCTGTCTCTGTCTTATCTCAAATACAAAATGCCAATGGTATGAATGTATCTATATATAACTTGGAAATGACGTACAATCAAATAAACCCGTAACCCACTCACTTGGTCAGGCTTCAGAATCGTCCAGTGGGCAGTGCGCTCTACACTCCAAGTTCCTTTTTTTCAAATTAACCGCAAATTTGATATTTTACCCATTGAGTGTTGATTAGTCACAATGAAACATTGTGACATAAGTTGAGGTTACTAGTGTATTAAATAATCTAGGTCCTATTTAGGATTATATCTGAAAAATCCAAATCTGGCCAACGCCCACCCTAAACCTAAACCTGTTCTAATCCACCTGAAATGACTAACGAATGGAAGACTTTGACTACCCAGCCATGCAATAGTCTCATTCCGTGCCTTATGGCAACTTGATGATTCTATTGCGCTCATCTTCTGGCACCACCCAGGGGAGACTTGGTCCTGTACCCAATGCTTAACTTATCTCCATTCCACTCAACTACTCGCAATTTCGTGTGATATAGTGGGCGGAATATTATTATATGAGACAATTCAATGCAGACGTCTTTCCAAATTTGGCAGATCGACAGGTAATCGGTGAGTTAGCACGATAGTTGCTATTCAACAACTCGACAACGTCCCATCGTCAACGCCTGCTATGAGAATTTCCCATTGCAGACGCCAACGAAATGACGTCATCGAGCTATCGATCAACTACCCTGGTTATCGCCTGGTACCTTATAGCACGATGCTAGGAGGCGAACCGGAAGAATCGATGAGCTACCTCCCCCTGAAGAACTGAAGAACTGAAGAACTGAAGAACTGAAGAACTGAAGAACTGAAGAACTGAAGAACTGAAGAACTGAAGAACT